CCAAAATACTCGCCCGAGCAAGACGAACATTTTGAATTTATACTTTTACACCTGTAGATGAACAGGAGACGAGATAAAAGTTGGGCGCCGGCTGGGGGAGAGTAATATGCACTCTAACCGGACACATTTTCTGACTAGGTCCTTCCCGATCCATCGATCCTGTTCTGCGACGAGCCGACGAGCGGCCTCGACGCGTTCATGGCTGGCCAAGTGGTGGACGCTCTAAAACGGCTGGCCGCCACCGGGAAGACGGTGATCACGGTCATCCATCAGCCGTCGCCCGAAGTCTTCCCGATGTTTGACCGGTTTTGTAACTGCTGGTTTCCGATGCTATAATTTTTGTGCGCTTCCAGCGTCTGCTTCCTCGCGTTTGGCCGCGTAGCCTACCACGGCCCCACCAATCGGCTCGGCGAATTTTTGGACTCGATTGGGGATCCTGAACTCGCGTATGCTTTTATTTTGGACGTTACTTGGCGCCGGCACCTAAATTTTTGTCGATGAAAAGGCTGTAAAAATCAGAAACGTTTAAAAAAACTTGTCTTTTTGATCAAAAACGTATTAAATTTATACAAATTTTATTTAATTTTTACATTTTTAAAGGTTTTTCTAACTTGTCCGTAATTGGAAACTAATAAAAACACTAGATAAATAGTTTTATGTTTTATTACAATGGATGTTAGGCTAAATAAAAGAAAATACAACACAGCGCTGCTACGTTTTTCAGCATCCCATATGATCACGACCCGGCCGATCACATGATCAGCATCCTCGCCCTAAACGTCGAGACCCAGGGCCAGGATTATGATCGAATCAAGGTAAGTATTAACCAACCACATGGATCACCATCCATTCTAGCGGATCGCCGCCACCTTCAAGAAGCACGAGATTGGCGAGAAATTGGCGCAGTTGATCAGCGGCGACGTGACGGGCAGTGTTCGCAAACTTGAGGAGGAGGGCAATCGGGATATCGGCAACAAGCCACGGTATAGGAACTCTAAATGCTATCCTCTTCCCTCAGATACCAAGCCGACTTCCTGGTCCAATTCTGGACCCTTCTGAAGCGTGCGACGCTGACCTGCCTCCGTGACCCACTACTCGTCAAGGTGAAGCTGGCCCAAGTTTTGGTGAGAAGCAAAGCCTGCTGACGACTACAAAACCACGCTCCAGTTGACATCGCTGGTGATCAGCCTGGTGAATTGGCGCGTCGACGTGCGGGCGGACACGGTGCAGAACATTGAGGGCGTGCTGTTCAACACGGCTCGCGACATGAACTTTCTCTTCTTGTTCCCGTCAATCGGGGTTTGCTATTGGGATTTTATTTGATTATCCCATTTTAGGTGATTACCGCCGAGTTGCCGATTTTCTTGCGTGAACACCGGGCCAGGATTTACTCGGTGGATAGGTGGGTGAATTTGCAAATTGTGTGTATCCGTTTGTTTGCTTTAGTTACTATTGGGCCAAGACGGCCGCTGAAGTGCCCCAATATACGATATTGGCCATCGTCTATGGGTGTATCGTATACTGGATGACAGGTCAGAAATAGATCGGTCCTTACAAAGCAAAAATTCAGGTTTATTCGCCGGCGCCGCGCAATTCCTCAAATTTCTGCTGATCTGCGTGCTGCAGGCGTATGTGGCCATTTCGATTGGTAGACTGGATGCTTTTACCTGATTTTTTTTTCAGCCACTGCCGGCGCGTGCGTCTTCGGAAGTGAAGGAGCGGCCGTCACCTTCATCCCCATCCTCGTGCTCCCGATGCTAATCTTTGGCGGTTTCTACATCAACTACGCAGACATTCCGGTTTACATGCAGGTGGATTATTATTTATGATAATTTTAAAGCGTTCATTTTTTAACTTTTTCAAGTTTTCTAAGTAATTCTTCCGCACGAACTAAAGCTGGGTGAATCTTCATATCGCCGAATTTTCATTTTGTTTCAATTTCATATCGCTTGAATTTTCATTTCGCCGAATTACGGAGAAAATCATGTTGGAGACCTTGGAATTTACAATATTTCTGCTCCACCGCCACCAGGATTTTGTCGGAGCATCAAGAAGATAACTTTACCTCGTTGAAACCGCGGCACTGATGTTTGCCTTCGACCTATTCTAAGAAGAGGCCGGCTGAGCTATCATTTTATTGTTCGCTAGATACCGGCAAGACTTAAAACCCGGTTGAATGAAGCTTGTGTACTAAACCTTGGGATCGAAATGCACATTCGGCGAGAATGACAATTCGGCGAGAGAAAATAGGCGATATGAAACACCCGGCGAAATGAATGTAAATCCTGCAAAGATATTTTATTCAAGTACTAAAATAATTACAAGTATTACTTTACTAATAGAAGCTTAGACGTATAGAATAATCGGATTGCCCGGGAAAAATCAAAACCATTTTAGTGGTGGTGTCACCTCTCTTGGTTCCGCTACGGTTTCCAGGCCCTCCAGAACAACCAGTGGACCGCCCAGGAACAATTCCTGTATTAAATGGCCTTCTTAAAGAAAATAGTATCATCTTCCAGGTTGCCTGAGCATCGAGACGAATTCGGGCGGAAATTGCACAACTCAGACTGGACTCGACGTACTGCGCAACCGCGGAATGTCCGTCAGCGCCCTGAATTATTGGGTCAATGCTGGTACGAATTTTTTTAAGCAATTTAATTCCAATTTGTCAAGCCATCCTCCTCGCGATGACGCTCGTCTCCCCGATTCGTCGGGCTGATCGCCCTGCGGCTGCGCAGCTGAACAACGCCTACACAAACTTTATTCTGCCCATTTCTTAATCATTGATTGTGATTTTCGGTATTTATGGGATAAATCTTGTGCGCGTTTAGATATGGTTTCAGCTAGGCATATTACATCCAGAAGTTGCTCCCATAAGTAAGGGATCGCGCAGTTAGTCGCGTGCTGGTCTGCTAGACCGGCGGGGTGGGGGAAGCTTCCCTATCGCCCTGAAAGATGCGGAAGAAATTAGCTTTCTTTTCTCTCTATTTTCATGTCGATTGATGCCGTGTGCAAGTAAACTAAGCTTTTAAGGGATCCTGAATTCGAAACTTTTTATTTCCTGCTAAAAATGAATAAAGTCGAGAATTTCAAATTTCTGGTAAGTTTTTAGTAAACGATAACACTAAAAACCAGAATCGGCTTTTTATTACTATGGAGCGAAGGCAAATACCAGTTACCCCGGGCTAACGGCACCAGAACCGAGAGTTTTCCTGTCAGTCTGTAAAGGTAGCCAGTGCACAATCTGTCGGCCACGTTTGCGATCCTCGTCACCCGCCTTTTTGGGGTGAAGCGGTTGCGGGATGGTCACTGTGTAGGTGGTGCTGGCCCCAGCCCGGCTTTTCAGCCGGACCTTGGGACTCGATACAACGCGAGATAACCGTGTGGTCGGACGAGATGGACCACTTCCAGCCTCCTCCCTCTCTCCTCCCTTCTCCTCTCCCAGGATACTATCGGCCTCCCCGGGCGTTGTCGGTCGAAATGGCTCCCGCTAGTTGAGCATCATTTCCTGATGCCGTGAAGCTGAGGTTGTGCTCGATTTTGGCACCCATAAGCTTCATTCTAGCTTCGGAGCCAATTAAAGCCAAGATTCCGGCATCGTAGCTACGTTAGCGCCTACGATGGCTACGTTGCTTTCTTTGGCGTGCAAGGATACATTTTTGCTGTCGAAGGAGTTTCAACTAAAACCTAGTTTTTAAAAGCTGCCAAAAACGACGAGCTTCGAAGTGCGAAAAAGCCTCATGAGATGCCTATTTTCTGCGCATCTCTCGCAATTTCTAAGCTTCATAATTTCCTTAATCCGGGGGCACTCGGTAAAAATAGGCGCCCACGTACATGTGTTTGAGCTTATTAAAAAGCCTAAAAATTGTAAGAAAAGCTAGACGGGTAAGTTTATTTCAGGAAAATGGGCCTTCCCACCACCTATCGCCAAGTTCACCCCGGCTCTTCGAGGCAATTCATCCTTATTGCCGCCTATTGCATCGGCTTCATCGACCTGTTCAGCCTCTTTTTCCGGTCGGCTACGGTAAGTTTTTGAAGGCTGCCGACGGCATGTGTCGATCCCCTCATCAACAAACTGGCAAGTAGCCAACAGGGGAGAGAGAGCGCGCCCAGGGGAAGACAGGTGTAGAGACATTTTCTTTCCCGCGCGCGTAACCGATTGGACTATGCCGACGCAACCTTTAAACGGCTTGAAATAATTTATAAGGCGTTCAATGTCGCGAAGTTCGAACTAATCGACCCTATTTTCAGGACAGAACAAATTTTTCGAGAAAACCACGAATGCGTGTTCGACAAGACCGGCGAGCTGGATGCCATTGAGGTTGGATTTTCAGCATGCCTTGGCATGGGGTCGCGCTTAGCTGTGGCGCCGATTGCCGCAAGTGGTGAACCAGTGCAGTTGCTCGCAGCCGGCTGAACATCATGGATTTGTCAAGTCCGACGAGACAAAATACCACGTGATGCCCACTGGATATGGGAGTTTTAAAATTTTTTAATTTTTTTAAACTTTCGATTCTTTAGTACTTCCGGAGGTACGACTTTTCCTATAGGGCGGGCACGACTCGTAATTTCACCAATAATTACTTAAATAGTCGTTTTAGCAAGACTTTGCTTGATTTGAAATAGAAAAACTTCCTAGAAACTGGAAACCCTGAATTTTGGTCGAAAACACGGGATTTCGGGCAATGAAAATCAATGTTTTGGTGCTTTTTGACAAAACTTTGTCAGTTTAGAAACATTTCCGCTATTTATTTAGAAAAGGGCTACTAGGGAAAAATTCGGTTTGCCCGAAAATACTAGAGAATCGACATTTCCATTTCAGGCCTACGCCCCGGGCCAAGAATGCGCGGTTATCTCGCTTGGGATTGGGAAGGATGTGGAAGCCGAGCGACAAATGCTGGTGCGTACAGTTTTTAATTTGCAGAGTTCTCCTTAGACGGCCCTTCCGCATTGTGATTTCTTTGGCGCGGATCCGGTCAATGACACGAACGCCGATCTATATCCAGAGGTCAGTTTTGGCGCTATTTATAGCTTTGTGGCGGCGAAATTAAAGCTTGTTTTGAACCTCTAGGTAGGCCGCTTCTTCCAACATTGCCGTTGGCGCGTCGAACGGGACGATGAAGGCTGAGATTTTGGAAGGTATTCATTTTTT